TAAACCAAAAAAATTAGTTGGGTTAATATTTCTTATTTTGTGGTTTTAGTCATATCTCCGCAATTAATTGTTACAAATAGGCATGTGTGGTTTGTGTCAGATATTCAAATTTTGTGCCTGGGGTTTGTGGTTTCGTTTGAATTGAAAATTTGACCAACGAAATGAAAAATTTAAATAATTAAGATGTTATCAATGTTCGGAGAAACACACATTTAATTTTTTCAGAACAATTTTTGAAACAACAAAACGATGTTTTTGATTAGAAATTAAAGAAGAATAAATTTTTGTTGTTATCATGTTATCATAGTTTGAGTTTTCATAAAAATACACTTTTTTAGTCTAGAAAGCAAAAAGATGATTTAATGAAGCCAATCACCTCATTGTTAGCCTTAAATATTCAATTCCTAAATGTTAATTACATATAAAATCCTTTTTTAAAAAATGTCGATAAAATGTTTCCCAGGCAAAAAAATCAAAAGTGTGCCTCATTAAGTATTCCAAAATCTGTTTTTCTTAAATATAATAAAATCTCCATAATGAATCCACTTTTCCCTCCAATGAATCTCTTCGTAGCATTTAAAAGCTGTCGCATTAATGAGGTTATAAATTTGTCGTGTATAACGTTTATCGTACTTAGGAAAAGTATCAATCTTTTAAGCCGTTGCCAAAGGCGGTTGTCAGAAAAATGTGATTAAGAAAAAAACGTAATGATTTGAATATCTGAACGGAATTAATCAAAAAGATAATTAATTTTAATTAATGAGCGATGTAAAAAAAGCTTTTCGTGTTGCAATTGGAATTGTAGGCGAGGTTCAATGTGGGTTAAAAATTATGCTATTTTAGGAAGGTTTTTTTTTGAATATATATTATAAAGGGTGTTTTTTTAAGCCCGATAGAACTTGAAATTGTAAAAAATAACACAAAAATCTTCATCCACTAATAAACAAACGTTATTTTTATAAAAACAACAATAAAGGGATAAAGCTTGACCATTTTGCAACAACAAAATACTACGGTATCCAGAACAAACAAGCCAACACTGTTCTACAAAAAAGGAAATTGTAATCAAAAAATTGTTTTTATTCAAAAGATCAGTACGTGACATTAACATTTGAGAATGATTTCGGGCATATGAGCACCGCGGCTGTTCTTGACGAAGTGCATTCTAGACGATCAATTTTTGGTCATTTTTTCGAGTACTGCTGGCCGTATGTCACGAATAACATGTACAATGCTGGCTTCCAAGGCGTCAATTGTTGTTGGTTTATCAGCATAAACCAGTGACTTCACGTAGTCCCACAGAAAATAATCGAGAGGTGTCAAATCACACGACCTTGAAGACCAATTGACAATTTTTGTCATAAGCCATTACAATATTCAAATACGAAACTTGAAAAAAAATCGGTGAATAATGTAGCTAAAATCGTCAAATCAAAAAATAGGAAGGTACCATTACATGGGGGCTATACCAAAACGTGGATCTGCACAGACAATTTTCTGTCATAGCATCTAGTATCCATTACGAACTTCAAATACCAAACTTGAAACAATTCCGCTGATTAATGTCTCTAAAATCATCAAAATATCGAATATCGGGAGGTACCATTATATGGGGACTATTCCAAAACGTGGTCCCACATGACTCATTTTCAATACCAAAAGTCCTGACATAACAATCATATGAGCAAAATTTTATCAAACTACTTCAATTCGTTCGGAAGTTAGAATGGTTTTCACAAACGGATAGACGGACAGACGGACGGACATCGGTCATCTTTGCCACGAATTATGGTCTTCAAGCGGCCAATGAAACAGTCACACGCTGCCCGAATGTTGCTCCGCGGTATTTTTGCCCATTCCCGGAGAAGCGTTTGCTTGTGGTGATCGACACTTTGGTAGTTTTTAGTGCCAACCTTGCTTTCCAAAATACTCTAGACACAATAGTCAAACGGATTGGCATCCAGAGATTTTGGTGGATATTGTGCACCGGAGGAACCTCGTTTTGTAATCATTCTTGGGTGACGCGTGATGAGTGCGATGGTGCTGAGTCCCATTCGAATGTCCAAGGTCTGCGGCCAAAATGTTTGCGTGCCCGAGGCTTTAATACACCCTCCAGAATATTTTCGCGATAATATTCGGCATTTATTCTAATGCCATTAATGCAAGCGGAGAGCGACCATCACCTGTTATAGCGGCCCACACCATCACCATGGCCGACGCTTGAGTTCTGGTGCCCAACCGAAGATGCACATTTTCAGCTGACCTCTTTGGCAAGTACACACGATAATTTTGTTTTTTTACAAATTGGTGGACAACGAATGTTTTCTCATCGGAGAAAACAAAATTCGGCAGTTCACCACTTTCGGCCAAGCGAAGCAACTCTTGAGCTCTTTTGAGTCTATTTTCTTTGTTGTTGTTGCGGTGTAAGTTCTTGTACTTTTTGGAATTTCAATGGCTTTACCCCGAGCTTAGTTTTTAATATTTGGCGAATGGAATATTGCGATATGTTCAGCTCACGAGCCATTTTTTGGGCGACTGCGATGCGGGTTTCGATCGAGTCGCTTCTTTACTTTTCGAATCATTTCGGCTGATATTCCTGTTTTCATCCGTCCACTTCCTTGACGTCGGGCTACGCTACCAGTATCACGTTAACGAGCGATGGTACGAGACACAAAATATTTTTTCACATTTAAATGCTGGAGTGCTTTAACGAAAGCCTCTTCTGGTATTCAAGCCAAATATAAAGAAATCATACTATCACGCTTGAATTCCATCATGAATATTTTTTTCTGGAAAATTCTCATCAAAATGCTTTTGTGCGCTTGTAAAGAATATAATGAACTGCAACTGGAATAATTTTAACAGCTTTCGGACGAGTGGCTTAGAAATTACAGTAGTCTGAAGTTGGTTGAAGTTTTTTCCTCTCACCCTGCATATGTTCCATCCGATTTTGTATTTAAATCCCCCGCACACCTAAAACGCTCTCCATGATGGTAATTGTTGCCAACTATCAGATACAGCATAGAAATAACTCTTATTAATTTTATAGGGATCGATACAGATTTGGACATAGGTTCATCCGATTTCACGTTTATTGTGACCAAAAAGTTTAATATCAGCTATAATAGGATGGATTTTGATGAATTTCGGTTCAGTCCCTCAAATTTAGTAAAAACGGAATAAGTGAATGATATACATCCATATATTAGTGCCTTTCCTCTTCATACCATCATAAATTCACATTGGGTAGGGTATCATAAAGTCGGTCTCGCCCGACTTTGGAACTTTCTTTACTGTTATTTATTGCTATTTAAAATTGGTTGCTTTGGTACAGGTTTATGTATATTTAAATAGTTTATCAAAAATGTCCAACGAAATGCTATACGCCATTTGTTTGTTATCGAATTCATATAAAATTTCCTCCCGATTTTCGGAATCCCGAGGAATTCGAAGGAATTTTGTAACCAAACTAGGAGTCTTAGAAGGAAACCAGATTCCCGAAAAATTGGTGCAATGTTTTTAAACTATTCAGAATAATTTTAATATTTCAATTTAATTTTCTTTTTTTTTTTTTTTTTTTGATATTGGATATTGGATGCAAATTTTTGAAAATGTCAGTATAAGAGCGCAGCACCTAGAAAAATTGGTCGATAAAAGTCCTTGGTTTTGTTTACCACCCATATAATCCTAACATCTAATGTTTGGCATTTTTCAGTACATTTTTATACAGATTTTTCTGAATTTCGACATTAGACGTTAAAATATCGCCAAAATTTCAACATATCGAAGAAATTATTTAGTTCTCATTGTGTAAATAAACTAAGACAGATTCTTTTTATACCCTCCACCTTGGAAAGGAGGGTATATTAACTTTGTCATTCCGTTTGTAACATCCTTAAATATTCGTCTTAGACCCCATAAAGTATATATATTCATAATCAGCATAAAATTCTAAGTCGATTTAACGATGTCCGTCTGTCTGTCCGTCTGTCTGTCTGTCTGTCTGTCTGTCTGTCTGTCCGTCTGTCTGTCTGTTGAAATCACGATACAGCCCACATTATTTGACGTTGAGCTCCAAAATTTAGCAGAGCTATTTGCATTGTGTCTAGGATGGTTGGTATTGAAAATCAGATATATCGGTCCACGTTCTGGTATGGTCCCCATATAACGGTACCTCCCGATATTCGGTATTTTGATGATTTATGCCACGTTTTTCACGGATTTGTCTTAAAATTGGTATTTGTAGGTCATAGCAGGTCCCTGAGCGTGTGGCAAAACATTGCATGTATGGGTCCAAAATTTGGTATAGCCCCCATATAACGGTACCTCCAGATATTCGGTAATTTGATGATTTTTGCAACATTTTTTCACGGATTTGTCTGAAAATCGGTATTTGTTGATCATAATGGGTTCCAGCTCCGGTGGCGAAACATTGCATGTATGGGTCCATGATTTGGTATAGCCCTCATATAACGGTACCTCCCGATATTCGGTATTTTGATGGTTTTTGCCACATTTTTTCACTGATTTGCCTAAAAATTGGTATTTGTGGGTCATAATGGGTCCTAGTTCGTGTGGCGAAACATTTTAATTATAGGTCCACGTTTTGGTATAGCCCCCATATAACGGGACCTCCCGATATTCGATAATTTAATGATTTTTGCCACATTTTTTTTACGGATTTGTCTGAAATTTGTTATTTGTTGGTCATAATTGGTTCCAGCTTCGGTGGCGAAACATTGCATGCACGGGTCCATTATTTGATATAGCCCCCATATAAAAATACCTCCCGATATTCGGTATTTTGATGGTTTTTGCCACATTTTTTCAAAACATTGTAATTATAGGTCCACGTTTTGGTGTAGACCCCATATTACGGTACCTCCCCATAATCGGCATTTTAATGGTTTTTGCCACATTTCTTCTAATGTTTATTTTACCCTAAGGTGGAGGGTATTAAAAGTTTGGCCCGGCCGAACTTAATGTTTTTTTACTTGTTTAATTTTTATATATTTATCAAAAACAATTTATTCGTAACACTTATTCCAATTAACAGCTTTAACAATGACAACATCTCATCTCTTTGACTCATAACGATGACTTTAGACACGGAAACGGAAGAGGGCCGATGGCAAGTAAGCAGCTTGAGGTGTTTGAGGCGCTGGGCCGCTATGTACAGGAGCTTGGGAAGCAAAGTTAAGAACAGGTGCAACACCACCATTGACATTGTGAGACTTGCCACCCAAGGAATCGTATTGAGCTTGGATAGCCTTTTGGGCATTGGCAGCATCTTCAGGGGTGCGGTACTTGACGAAATGAACTTCGGGTTTTTGGTTGGCGCCCTTGTTGACGTTGTTAAGTTTGTTGGCCAAATCACCCAAATCGGCTTGTTTGTGGAGGACATAGATGGCGGTTTTCTGTTCGGCAGCTTGTTTGGCCAATGCAAGGGCGGCATTTTCGAGACCGTTGTTTTCGGGGCCCTTAATGAAGATAACGCGGAGACCCTGTTTCACACTGCCGGCAACACGTTGGGCAGCATTGGCATCGTTGAATTCACCTTCGGGAGCAGAAAAAGAGTAGAATTCCTTTTCATATTCAACAGGGCCAGCAGCGGAGCCAGAGAAGGGGCCAGCAGAGCCAGAGCCTTGAGCTGGGGCAACACCACCATATGTGGCACTAGGAGCCTTGTAAAGCGATCCGCTACCACTGCCGGGTTGGAAGGACAAACCTGAGTTGGAGTGTTCTACTGGTTTATAATTGTAGCCCAATTTGTCGGCAGAGGCGATGGCCACCAGACATAAAACCTGAGGTAAATTAAAAAAAATATTTTAATTATTTTTTAATATTTTAATTATTTTTTAATAATTTAATTATTTTTAATAATTTATTATTATTTTTATTATTTTTTGAAAAAATATTTGGAAATTGGAAAAAGATTTGAAAGAAATATTTTGAACTTACAATAAAAGCACGCATTTTTTTTTAAATTTAGTTCCTGAAGATGAGTGCTCGTGGAAGTCAAAACACTTTCTGTCGATGTCTGGTCAAATTGTCAACACATTTATTTATACTTCAAACCAATTAACCAAATCTCAATCGGTACCATCATTAGAAGCCATTGTTAAAATACCGGCTAAGAATTATTATTTTTATTTATGGCCACAAACATAAATACCGGAAGTTTTTGTACTGGAAGCCACCTACAAATGGCCTATAACAGGCACCATTAGCACGATATGTGCGTTAATTTTGTTGTCTGCCCAAGAAGAAGAAGATATTCAACCACATTACCATTAGTCAGCCTAACTCTTAGACGATGCCGTAACCTGTTTTAGCGCCCGGTAGACTAATAGCATCCGCAGCACATTGGTAGCCTACAAATGGGCCAAATTTACATACTGATTACCATTTGTTGCTGGAGCTCAGTTGTGAACTTGTCATAATTGTTTCCGAAGAATGCTGCAGCATACCACATGGAAATAGTTTCGTTATAAATCGCTCGATCTTTATGGGATTATTGTAATTTGAAATATGGATGGACAAGTAGTGTGATCGAAAATATTTTATTAATTTACGCAGGGTTAGAATAGGTTCATTGAATTTTCTGTTATCTATATGGGTAATATGGTCAAGAATTATGTAAATCATGGTTGTTGAGTTACATGTGTAAGGGAGGTGGTGTAGCATGGCTGTGACATTTTAAATTATACAAGGTTAGTAGGCTGTCGCAGGCAATCTGTGAAATATGTTAATGGTTATTAGTTTTTTTTCTTCACTTTCGATGTCGTGACTCGTCATAGGTATATCCCCCACCCAAAAAGATAAATTAATTTATTCAATATTTAAAGAAATAAAAATATCAAAGTGTGTTTTTCGATTAATCTGTCTGATAGTGAATTCTTAGTATGAAATTCAATTTTAAGCTAGTAACAAACTGAAAATTCTGCCGAATAGCTCATTTGTTAAGATCGCAATGGGAAGTAGGAAAAATATCGATTTGACCAAGTTAACAAGTTAAAAAACAGTAAGTTCGGTCGGGCTGAAATTTCAATTCCCTCCACCATTTGGAATGTGTTTGGAAATTTTGAAAAAATAAAATCCGTTAAATATTCTTTTAAAATCTTAAAAATACCGAATATAGCCGTTATATTGGGTCTATATGACGTGGACATGCATAGGCAATATTCCAATGCGAAACTTGAATAAAAAAAAACGGTGAATTATGTAGCTAAAATCCTCAAAGTACCGAATATAGGGAGGTACCGTTATATGGGGGATATACAAAGACGTGGACTGCCACAAACAATTTTCTGTCATAGGCTGTAGTATACATTACGTACTCCAAACACCAAATTTGAAGGAATTTCTGTCAATAATGTCGGTAAAATCATCAAAGTACCGAATATCGGGAGGTATCGTGATATGGGGCCTATACGAATACTTGAACCTACATAGACATTTTTATTTTTGTCATAGACTGTATTTCTTACGAACTATAAATACAAAATTTGAAATAACTCTGGTGAATAATATCGCTAAGATAATCAAAATATCGAATATTTGGAGGTACCGTTATATGGAGGCCTCAGCCATATGGCTACAGAGGGTATATATCATTTGGAATATCCGATTTGGTCCAAGCTTGGTACATCGTAATATTTTTGTCAAACTTAGACCGAGTTTGGAGATGGGCAATATCGGTCCACTCCTTATGGTATGGTAAATATATTTTCTGCACAGAAAGAGAAAGGATGATCCGATTTTGCTCGAACTTTACAAATCCTAATATTTGCGTCAGTGCTATTTCAAGTGTGAAAATGAAATATGATGTAAGTATCCAAACGTCTTAAAATTTCGCACATCCCAATATTTTTATAAGCCCAAGATCTGGTGTTAACATGGAAAATATCGGCCCACCTCCCTCAAAAAATGTCGAAATTTTGAATACCCATGTAGCTCATAAAACGCCAAATTAACATCCGATTCAATTTAGAAATGGCAAATCTGAATATTTCTATCAACACAAGATCTGTTATAAAGATGGTATAGATCGAACCATTTCTTCTGGCACCTCCCCCATACATAGGGTTCATGATTTTGAAAAACAAAGCGCTCAAATAAAACGAAATAAGCATTCAACTCTCTGCAAATTTCACACATACACAAATTTTTGCTAACACCAGATCTGTTGTGAAGTTGATATATATCTGCGAACCCCTTCTGGCACCTCACCCACAAAGGGTCACAATTTTCAAAATTTTATCTGTCTGTTGTCACATTCGAAACAATTTAACAATTCTTTACTACTATGCCCAAATATTTATCTCAATAAGCCTGATATGAATATGAAATTTATCGGAATTTATGATTTGGCATAAAATTGGACATAAATATCCTTTCTTGTAATTCGCTCAATATTTTTTATTAGTATTAAATGGAATGAAATATTTCGGTAGACTCTATCTGGTACATCACGCACATTTTAACAAATTCAAAAAAATTATTACATATTTCATATAAAGTGAAGGAATGATTCGATATATCCATTCCAGGAACGTGGCAATATTTATATCATATTTTTGGGGTCCGATACGAAATGGACAATATAGACCCATTCCTTCGGAATCTGCTCCATAGAGGATCAAACTGTTGTACAGTTGTATTTGGGCTATACGATATCACGCACCTACATAGAAGTTTCTCTTCCAGGGAGTAAAGTTCTTAGCAAGAACTTCTAGTATGGATTCTAGTATAATATGGATTCCATTGCAAAATTTAGCTATAATCATAAAAATATCGAATATAGGAAGGTACCGGTTGTAGAGTATTCAAAATTTAGAACCTTTCTTGCTGGGGCACCACAAGGAGTTCGCATCTTTACAACAGATCTTGTGTTACCAAAAATCTGTATGCAATGGAAAAGAGCTTCATGGTTATTCAAAATTTTGACCTTTTGTGGGGTACCAGAAGGACTGATATGTTTCATCTTCACACCTTTGGTTAGTAAACATATTGTGATGTATGTGATTTGAAGACAATTGCTTTCTTACATTATATTTTTATAAGAGTTAAAATTATTCAAAATGTTGACCATTTGTGGGGGAGGAGGTCCATTTTGGCACCTGACCTAACACTAATGTAAATTTTCGAAGTTGGAGCACAATCAGATGATCCTTTCTTTTCTGTGCAGCAAAATATTTTTTTTTTTTTTTTTGAAAATTTCGAGCAAGAAGGATCTAAGTTTGACAGTAATATTACGCCGTATTAAGTTTGGACCAAATCGGATATTTCCTTGGAGAGTTAACGTGCGCACCAGCCAGACAGAGAAACAGACGGACGGACACCCGTACATTATTTTGGACAAACGGAATAAGGACTGTGAGGGACTTAAAACCCCAAATCAGCTAACTTTAGCTCAAATGGAAATTTAGAAATAATTATAGAAAAGAGTATTTCATATTTGGTGAAAATTGGTTCAGATACAGCTACAGCTCACATATATATACTGCTAAAAAAAGTGCTAAAATTTTGTGGAGATCGGTTCAGATTGGTTGTAGCTCCCTTATATATCCATATCCGATTTCAGGTGTTGGTGTACCAAATCATTAAAAGTTCTGGATTTTGCTCCATCTGACTGAATTCATCCGGAAATAAGTAATTCTATTTTGGTGAACATCGGTTGAGATACAGCTAAGTCTCCCATACACGAGTTTCATCCGCAGTTATATATCTACAATTATACCGATTTACACCAAGATTGTGGTAGTTGCTTCCAGGATATGTTAGGTGAATTGGGCGAATTGAAATCGGATGAAGGTACCTTTTCTCATTATTTCACTCTAATGTTTGAATTAAACTCTTTCCCCACGGGATCCCTTCATCATTATGAAGTCCTCTATAGGATACCTACTCACCATACGATATATACATACAAATGACGATAACTGTCATTTATAATATGAAAATAAAAACAACAACTGCAACAATAGCAGCGATAAGCAATAAACAACAATACAAAAGCGATTAACAGCAACAACAGCAAATCACAACGAGAAAAAAAACAAACTTTCCATTGAAATTGAAAAATGTGGTTAAGCTCTTAGGATTTCAATTAAATAATGATGACAATGATTATCCTTAATAATGACTGAATGGAATGAACGGAACGGAATGGATGAATGAATGAGTGACTGAATGGATAGACAGATGGATGGATGGATGGCTGTATTTATTTGCGATTATTTACACTGTCACTTGCCAACAGACATGTAAGCAAACAAATGCCGAGCAGAATACGCTCCAATTCGATAAGCCATTGTAGTGAAAGTATTTAAAATGCCTCACACCAATCTCGGGCTCATCTTTACAATACGAGGCTGGGTTGAGCTTTCATCGATCATGTTTAATTCATCGTCGTCGTCGTCGTCGTCGTCGCCCCAACAGCCCACCCATCCAACATCTTTGTTCAGTGACAGAAAATATCTGTAGATTGTGTTCGACTGTTTTTTCATTCGTTCCTTTCGACAAGTTAAGCATTTAATCCTCTATCAAATTCCAATGATTGACTGTAAAGCATTGAAATTTTATATGTGATTCAATGTTGCGGAATCATGGCGAATGCCTGCATCGAATAATGATGCCTTTTTAACATCTTGACACGATGTGTTCTTACTTTCTTTTTATGAATTGCAACGTTGTGACAAATTGAGAGTTTTGTGTGTGAAGGTAGAAAAATGTTGGGAAAGTAAAATCTTTCTCAACGGTAGAATTGAGATATGAGATTTTGATGTGAATTCAATATTTAATAAATATTTTTTTTATATATTCTTAATAACTTATGTTTCCTACAAAAAAAAAAAAAAAAAAAAAAAAAAAAAAAAAAAAAAAAAGATTATATTATATGCTGGATTATTGGTATTGAAAATAGTCAATATTGGTATTTTGGACATATATGGGAGCTATATCCAAATCGGACCCGATCTCGATAAAATTTGGCAAAGATATTTCTGAGCTGTATTTCATATATTTCCCTGAATATCGTTGTTACGGAGTGCATTTTACTGCTGTGGATAACAAATATAACAAATCGAATGGACAGTATATATGGGAGCTATAGCTATATTTGAACCGATCTTCACCAAATTAGACATACTAGCTTTTAGACTCAAATGGGTCGTAAGTGCCAAATTCCATCCCATTTGGACATTAGAAGTTTGATGCACAATAAAAGGTAAATCGGATGAAGTGGCCGCAAGTGGTGAATATATGGGAGCTATATCCAAATCTGAACCGATCTCGATAAAATTTAGCAAATGTATTTCTGAGCTGTATTTCATATATTTCCCCAAATATTGTTGTTACAGAATGCATACTACGGGTGCGGAGCACAAAAAAAAAAACAAATCGGATGAAAAATATATATGGGAGTTATAGCTATATCTGAACCGATTTCGATCAAATTTGGCATACTTACTTTCAGGCCTAATTTGGTGGTATGTGCAAAATTTCATACTAATCGGGCTGATATTTCACCTTTGGTGCACAATAAAAAGCAAATCGGACGAAAATATATATATAAGAGCTATATCTAAATTCTTACCGATTGTCTCAAATTTCAATAGGGTTCATCCTTGGGCCAAACAAATGATTTATGTAGAATTTCATCTGGATAGGGCAATAAATGCGAATTGTTTACAAAAATACATGAACAGGCGGACGGAAATGCATAAATCGACTCAGAATGTGATTCTATGCAGATCGTCAAAAGGAACTATAGGTTTATCAAGTTTCCTTTTGCCTGTTACAAACAAATGCACAAAGACATAATATCATGACCACCTTGTTGTGTAGGGTATAAAAATACCGAAAGTAGTCGTTATATTAGGGGCTATACGACGACAAGGACATGCATAGGCAACCTCAAAATACCGAATATCGGAAGATACCGTAATATGGGGGATATTGTCAATACCAGAAGTCCTGCAGCCATAATATACAGGGTGAGATGAAAAAAACCAACTACAGACTGCTGCCATTTCTTAGCTACTCGTCTGAATGCAGTTAAAATTATTCCAATGACATTATTTACAAGCGTACAAAAGCATTTTGGTGAGAATTTTCCAGAAAAAAAGTTATTCGTGATGGAATTCAAGCATGATAGTATGATTTCTTTATATTTGGCTGGAAAACCACAAGTGGCTGTCGTTAGAGCACTCCAGCATTTAAATGTGAATAAATCTTTTTTGTCTGGTACCATCGCTGGTACTCGTAGCCCGACGTCAAGAAAGTGGATGGAAGAAAAGAGCAACATCAGCAGAAATTGTTCGAAAAGTAAAGAAGCGACTTGATCGAAAACCGCGTCACAGTGGCCGAAAAATGTCTCGTGGGCTGAACATATCGCAATATTCCATTCGATATAATATTAAAAAATGAGGTCGGGGTAAAGCCATTGAAATTCCAAAAAAAGCAAGAACTTACACCGCAACAGAAAGAAAATAGACTCAAAAGAGCTAAAGAGTTGCTTCGCTTGGCCGCAAGTGGTGAATTGCCGAATTTAGTTTTATCCTATTGTCCAGCAGTTTGTAACCAAACAAAATTATTGTGTTTACTTGCCAAAGAGGTCAGTGGAAAATGTGCACCTTCGGTTGGCCACCAGAACTCAAGGGCCGGTCATGGTGATGGTGTGGGCCGCAATAACTGCCGATGATCGCTTTCCGCTTGTATTAATCGACCGTAGCATCAGAATAAATGCCGAATATTATCGCGAAAATATTCTGGAGGGTGTATTACAGCCTTAGGCATGCAAACATTTTGGCCGCAGACCTTCGACATTCCAACAGGACTAAGCAGCATCGCCCTCGGCACGCGCCACACAAGAATGCTTACAAAATGAGGTTCCTCGCTTCATTTCCAGCGCACAATGACCACAAAAATCTCCGGATACCAATCCGTTGGACTATTGTGTCTGGAGTATTTTGAAAAACAAGGTTGACACCAAAAAATACCAAAGTGTCGATCACTTCAGGCAAGCGCTTCACCGGGAATGGGCCGAAATACCGCAGAGCTACATTCAGGTAGCTTTTGACGGTTTTACTGGCAGTTTCAAGGCCATAATTCGTTCCAAAGGCCACCAATTCGAACAAATCTAAGCTTATTGTAAAATGTTATGCTATTTCCGACATTTTTTGGCTTCATTCAATATTTTTGTTTTTAACAAAATGTAAAAATTTTGGTGTTTGACTTTTTGCATTTTTTTATTTCACCCGTTATATACTTAACCGATTTCGGTTTAATTGTGCACCAATTGGCCAATATCAGTCTAAATGACCTTAGTTTTGGAACATCCGTTCTAATTAAGTCTAGAACTAAGTATGTCAAATTTAATGAAAATCGCTTCGGATATAGCTATAAATCATATATACATGTTTCATCCGATTTGGTGTTTAAGTCCCTCACACTCGCAATATGTACACCAACAGAATCATATTTGGTAGCACAAATTAGAAGCAGCCCAGAAACAGCTTTACTAAATTTTATCAAGATCGGTTCTGATTTGGATACAGCTCTCATACATCTTCAGCGGATTTCGAGTTAATTGTGCACAAAATGGTCAATACCAGTCCAAACGACCTGAATTGTGGCACATACGACCGAATTCAGTCTAGGAGGTAAATTAAAAAAAAAAAAAAAAAATTGGTGAAAATCGGTTCAGATATAGCATTAGCTCCCATATAGATGTTTCGTCCGATTTGGGGTTTTAAGTCCCTCACATGGGTAATATGAACTCCACAACAATGACATTTGGTAACAGATATTTTAAAGAGCTCGAAAATCGAGATCGGCTCAGATTTGGATATGGCTCCCATATATGTTCTTATTGCGATTTAAGGTTTGTTGTACAAATAATTGCTATATCAGCCAGAATGGAGTGAATTTCGGGCGTACTTTTCCATTTGGTAAAACTCGGCTCCGATATAGATTTTTTTAATGTTATCCTCCTGGAAGTGATATCTCTTACTCCATAGCAATTTTATTTGGTATTATAGATAAAAATATCTCCTTCAAATTTGGTTAAAATCGATTCAGAATTGGATATGTCTGCTATACATTAGTTCCCTCTGAAACCAAATTATAGCTGATCCAAAGCCAAAGGTTTATAGGTGGTATGACCTACTTCAAATAAATTGCTTCGTTATCCACAATGGTCTAGGATATCATATAGTCGGTTCCGCCCGACTTTTGACGTTTCCCTACTGGTTTTTATACCCTACAACACTTTGTGTTGGGGGTATTATAAGTTTGGTTGGGCCAAAAATTATGTAACCCCTCGAAATATTCATTTCCCACATAGGAAAGTATATGTTGCCCTTCCTTTCTTGCCGAGATGAGTCGATCTAGCTATGTATGTCCGTCCGTCCGTCTGTCCATGTTAATTTGTAATCACTCTACAGGTCGCAATTATGGCCCGATCCTTACGAAATTGAAAATGGAGGTGGGGTTATGGTCAGAATAGAACCCTATGGTTTTGGAGATGATCGTAAAATATTTAGGGCTTGAAATGGACCAAAAACTGAAAAATTTCCTCATTTTGCAGTTGCTCTACAGGCCGCAATTATAAACCAATCAACGCGAAATTTTGGATGGAGTTAGACAATATCTAACGGGTAAAATAAATCATAACTTTTATGCCAATAAATTCGAAAAATTCCACAAAATCGCGAATATTTTTAATCCCGGCCAAATCACAAATTTATTACAAGGTCACTACTGACCATTACAGTAATACCGATAGCCAACATATCGGATATGTAGCGAAATAGGAACAATCTATATGTAAATGAAATCTAGGTTAGTTATTCCGCTTATAAGTCAAGAACCCCTTTACGGATTTTGACAATTTTCACTAATTTCCAACGGGCTCTTGCCAGAAAAGGGTGAAATAAGAAAATCGTGTAAAAATCTGTCAACAAAGAAGTTAAAATTTTTTTTACATTTTTTTAATTATTGTCATATTTTTTTATCGTATGCGATATTTTCAATTTGACTTACAATTTTGAATTGTACGATTTCAAAATTTTTTCTACACCATGCAACACTATGTTTTGAGGGTATTATATACGGGTCACATTGTTTTTGAAGATGTAAATTTGGACAAAAAATGAAAATTTTCGTGATTTTTCAGACGCTATACAGGTCACAATTTAAAACCAATCGACACGGAATTTTGCATGAGGACAGGAAACATGTTGAGCATATTGGATGATCATTGGATTATATTTAATTGAAAAATGGACCACAATTTTGGTGTGAAATTATTTAGAATACCTAACAACACGACGTACTAAGTAAATATTGGGCAAATGCCTAAGGGTAACACCTGGGCAGGGCCCTATGAGATTATTTCAAAAACGAAATCTTCCAAAATGGATTTGAACACAAGGGGGCTTCTAACTTATTGTAGTGTTGTAAGGTATCACATGGTCGGTCCCGCACGTCTATAGCCTTTGCTTAC